ACAGGGTTTCCGAGGCTGTAAATCTTTACGGGAGCAGAAAGCCTCATCTTTCTCCCACGGAGCAGCTGGTAGTTTCAAACTGCTGACCTTGTGGTTTGCAGCCCGATTCGTAACCACTAGGCTACCAGAGCTCCTTCACCTACGAAGTAGGGATAATAAAAATGCAGTCATCATTCTAGTCAGCCTTTGTGGTGCTGCCTTGTGACGATTAATTGAGTTAGGTACCTGGCATATGGGATTCTACTTCCTTCTATTCTTCTATCCCAGTAATTTTTTCAGCTTTGTTATTTCCTTTTTATTTAGAATCTACATCAGGAGACAAATCTGTATCACATTCTTGCACAACTCCTTCTACATCTTCCGCCTCTGGACTGAATCCCACATCTGCACCTCCAACATCTGCTTCAGCAGTTCCTGTTTCACCTGTTCCCCAGTCACCAATACCTCCATTACTTCAGGACCCAAATCTTCTTAGACAGTTGCTCCCTGCTTTGCAAGCTACGCTGCAGCTTAATAATTCTAATGTGGATATATCCAAAATAAATGAAGGTAAGTTTTTATAGTAATAATTTTAAAAAATTCATTTGTTATATAAATCTTAGAATTAGTAATAATTCTGCTTTAGGAATTGTCTTTGACATGCATATTTGAACTTCATTCTCTTAATTCAGAATTTACTTGCGCTGTAGCTTAAGACCGTTGTTAGTATTAATTGAGCTAGTGATAATTGAATTTTTTAAGAATGTTTTTCAAACTTGTTATGTACCTTGGGATAAACCATTCTGTGTACTTAGTGTATATGCATTTGTTGTTTTTATAAGTAAGAAGCATTTGTTAAAACTGATTTAAAACCTTTTTTATTTCTAAAAATCTTCATACCTGTAAGTAACTATTTGAAATATAAAAGAAAGGCAGTTGCCTGGAGAGTGGGGGTTCCACTAGTTTCTTGTCAAAGTATTTGGAATAATTCTAGGAAAGGAGAAGGTGTTCACATTTTACTATTTTTCCTGATAAAATTGCGTTGATTCATTCCAACTCCTTTTTAAAATGCTTCTAAAGTATTTAGGCCTGGTGTGATGCTCTAGGATAAGCGCTCTACTGCAAGGTTGGAAGCTCAAATTCACCATCCACTCCTTAGAAAACCTATATACAAGGGTCTCTATGAGTCAGAACCAACTTGACAGCACCAAGTATTTAGGCAGCCATATCAGAGAAAAGATTTAAATAAGGGTGAGTGGCATAAACCACTACCACTCAATTCCTAGGAGCACATTGAACATTTCTATTTATGTTCTTTGTTCCACATAATGATACGATTAAGTAGCTTTTTCCTAAAAAAATAGCATTACCTCAGGCTTTAGTCTTCTATTCTTACTGTCCCCAATTTTTCTGTACTTTGATTTTATTCTCTAGAATAATCTGCCATTCTCTTAGTCAATAGATAAAGATTTCACTTGGTCAATGTGAAGCTTTTAAACAGTAATAACAGAAAAATGTTAATAATAGATCTTCTTATGCTTAGAAAATACATATTCCTAAGTACTTAAGGTTTTTTGTTTTTTTTGTTTTTTTTTTTTAAATGTTTGAGGTGGGTGTTAATGAAGGGTTTGACTGGTTGGTTAGCTTGTTCAATAAAGCACTCTTGTGAAATAGCTACCATTTATTGCATTATTTTCAAGTAACACTAAGCACTTTGTTTTTAGTCTGTTCCAGTGAATAGTCTTTAGTGGTGTTTTATGGAAATCTCATAGTGAAGGGTTTTCGTGAACTGAACATCTAATTTAATCGTTAAGTGTCGTCGAGTCGTTTCCAACTCAGAGCAAACCCGGTTTATGTTTTCCAAGGAATCATTCCTATTTTCTAGATTTTTATTTTGAGAGGGTTTTTTTGTTTTGTTTTGTTTTAAGTCTTTTGAGTTTTCAAATTGTTAACTAATGCTACATATGCCTCTGTGTTTTTAGTTGAATTTAGAAAATAATATGTTTTCAGTTCTTACAGCAGCTGTGACACAAGCCTCCCTTCAGTCTATAATTCATAAATTTCTTACTGCTGGACCATCTGCCTTCAACATAACTTCCCTGATTTCTCAAGCTGCTCAACTCTCTACACAAGGTATTTATGTTCTTAGATAATTAGTAACAAAATTTTTATTACTCTTAAAAAGATTAGCTATAATTATTTGATTTTGTAACACTAGTACATAATTGCTGCAATTTTTTCTTTTTAGATAATAAAAAACTTAAACATTTATCTTAAATATTGCCATCATATCTGTAATTTAAATTAGAATTTAAGTTCTTAATGATGTATTTTAGTTCACAACTGATCTTAAACTATAATATTCCCTTAAATCTTTATAAACAGTTTAGATTCAGATTAATGTTAAATGACTTCTAATTAGTAAATAACAAAAATGCTCAAGTTGCATCTTCTTTGAATTAGCTGCCTCTCTTCTCCATGAAGGTATCCAGTTGAGCTAGAGAATACATAAAAGCTAACGGCAAGTAAATGGGCTGTTTTGTTAGATGGATTTGTCTCTCAATCCCAGTACAGAAAGCAAGTAAACTGGGCCAAAATATTTGGTTAAAACTGAAGTATAATGGCTGGCCTCATGAAGAAGTGTAAGGAGGGTGAGGATTCACTTATTTGATAGTAAGGTCAGACTTAGCTTCCTGTTTACTGTCTCAAAAAGAAGGAAGGCCACTCTTCATCTTTAAAATAATGCATCAGTAAGTATCTCAGATTCTAATTTATTCAAGTAATCTTCTCTTTGAAGACTATCTGGCAAGATGCAAAGATTGCTCCACATATCATATATTTTGGAGCCCTAGCGTAGGATACATACTGGACTGCTAACTGCAAGATCTGTGGTTCAAACCCACCCAACCACTCATTGCAAACCCTATACAGGGTTGCTGTGATGCAAAACCAATTCAGTGGCACTTAACAACAACATTAATAATACTTGGTTTATTAAAAATTGTTTTGATGTCTTCCAGCCCAGCCATCTAATCAGTCTCCGATGTCTTTAACATCTGATGCATCATCCCCAAGATCTTACGTGTCTCCAAGAATAAGCACACCACAGACTAACACAGTTCCTATCAAACCTTTGATTAGTACTCCTCCTGTTTCATCACAGCCAAAGGTATGTTGCTTTTGAGGGGATTTTAGAAAAGAAACCACTTAATTTCAGTGTTCTAGAATCTGTATTGTAGACAGTCGCGTCTTTTAGAATGAGATCTCATGTTGACATGAAAGATAGGTAGGTGATAATAAGTAAAGGTTAGTTTGCATCTATGCTAATCTTATACACTCTCTGCTTCTGTTCCCTTTGTTTGCTTATTGTGGTGTGGAGAAAGTGAGGATGATGGATTTTAAATTTATAGAATTTTCAGATCGTAAGGAATGTGAGAAATACCTTTTCCTGTAATTTTTTTTCATACCTTAATCTAAAAAAATACGTCAGCTCTTATGCTAAGAACAAAATTTGCCTGTTTGTCCTTACTTAGTTATGACCAGTTTTATAAAATGCTGTCAAATTTTCAATCATGTCTAGAAATCCTAAGTAAATTCCAGTTGTGTACTCATTCTTTGCGTTTTCACATGCTACTAGTAAATTACTGAGAGGTTTGGTATTTTTACAAGTTGTGGGTTTTTTCCTTGACTCTAAATGGGAAATGTAAAAATGTAGTGAAACAGCATTTTTAAAGAATTTTTAATTGTTTGCCTTTATTTTGATTGGAGGAGAATTACAATGTAAGTATCAGCAAAAGAGATCTTCAAGCTTAAAACTTATCCTCAGCTTATCCTCAGAGTAATATTTTAAGAGCACAATACATGGTAGCTAAAAGTGAAGTAAGCGGTGGTGTTAGTGAATTTTCTGTAATGGGTATTTAATATCTTAAGGAGATGATATGAGCTTTTTGCATTCAAAAGACTTTTTCAAGTTGCTTTTCAAAATATCTTGGCATGTGATTTTAAATGGAAGTTATAAGTATGTCCTTTATAAAAGGACTTCTGAATAGAGATTATGGGTGTAATGTTCAGAACCATCCAGGACTATCTAGGTTTGTTTGGGAATATTATGAATCATCCTTCTGTACCCCCCACCTCCCACCCACCAAAAAGAATCTGCTGGAAGATGCAATTTAGATTTGTTAATGAGGCTTAATCAGAAATGGTTCCATCTGCCTTTATTCCTTTAGTTTGGGATATATGCCTGCTTGTTTCTTCCTCTATGGCATCTAAATGTGAATATTATATGTATCTTTATTGGTAGTCATGGACCTCTTGGTTTACCTCTATAGAATACTATCTCTTTGTAGACCTCACAAGTTGAATTTTGTATGACCATTGCATATTCTCTGATAGATATACATTCTCTCCAAATTTGGTTAAAATCTGAGCAACTATTTATATGATGTGGTAATGTTAGATACTTTTTATTACTATAGAAGTAACACTAAATCACAAGAGGTATTAGAAACATATATGAGGCTGAAAATCAAGAGAACTGGTTTCTTATGCTGTTGTATTACTAAAGTAATTTTGTGATCTGGGGTTCAAAACTTTTCTATCTATATATGACATTTGGTAAATCATAAGATTCTACTTCTTAAAAACTCCAGATTAGTACAGTGTTTAAGAAGTCCTGGTGTGGCATTGTGGGTTAATGCACTGGACCACAAAGTCTGTACCGCAAGGCCAGCATTTCAAGCTCACCAACCACTCCTTGGAAACAGTATACAGGGTAGCTGTGGGTCCAAATCAATTTGACAGTACTGGCGCTGTGGGTTGGGTTAATGCGCCGGACTGCAAAGCCAGTTGGACTGCAAGGTTGGCGGTTCAAGCTCACCAGCTGCTCCTCGGAAACCCTATCCAGGGTCGCCGTGGGTCAGAACCGACTCGATGGCACTTAACAACAACAAAATAACAAAGTTATTAAGTAAATTTGGGTTAGTAAGAGGAGTGAATGGTCATAACATCTAAATGCCAATAATTTGCACAAAATAACATTTTTATCATTAATATTAAACAGAATCAACGTCATTCTTACTTTAAATCACTGAAGAACAGAAATAATATTTCCTTGGTAGAACTTCTGCTTCTATTTAGATGCCATGTAGTCTGCCAGTGTGATTAAAAACCTAACTAGATTTTTTGAAATTTCAGGTTAGTACTCCAGTAGTTAAGCAAGGACCAGTTTCACAATCAGCCACTCAGCAGCCAGTACCTACTGAGAAACATCAAGGTCATGAACCTGCTTCTCCAAGAAGTCTTCAGCGCTCAAGGTAAATTGATGTTTGTGTTGAGACTACAGATTTCCTTAAGTCAATTCTTATATAACCTTAGCAGATTGTGGTCACTAATAGTGATGCCTAGGTTATTTTGAAGAAGGTGGTTCTTCTTGTTGAGTTTTAATAGTCCCGTACTGTAATATTATGGGACTAAAAACATGTGGTGCTTATACAAAGAGTATACATGTTTTTGTAGTACTTTGATGAAATTGCATACTTTTTAAACTCCAGTTTTAGGAAGCTCTGTTTTAGTGTTGGAATTCTGCTGTTGTGCTATAGGATCAGCACTGAACTGGGAACCACAGGTCAATGGTTCAAACCCACCAGTTGCTCCTAGGAAACCCTATACAAGGGTCACTATGAGTTGGAACTGGCTTGACAGTTCTTAACAACATCAACAACATATAATAGTTTTAAATTTGTGTATTGGTGAAACCAAAAACCTTTTATGTAAAATTTGGACCAATATTTCCAAACTGATTTGCATTAGACTTTCCTATTAGTTTTATCTCTGACCTGCTTTCTGAGTAGTTAGATGGAGTTGTATTTTGGTGTCATTTATCTTAGATAATTAACAATACACAGTTTCTTTAGAACAACATGGTTTGAACTGCACAGGTCTACTTACATTACACCCCAATTTTAAACAAAAACACCAGGTGGTAGTGATCATTTTCACATGAGCAGTTCATCTCTCCTATAAATTGCATTATCATAGTAAAAAAAAAAAGATCTCTCGAAATCCTTGCGCATTTTCCATTGTGCTTAGTGTAAATACTTTAAGCCTTCAATAACGCCATAGGAGGACCCACATGAAGTGCCACTTGGTGATACTGGAAGTGCTCCCAAGAAGCAGAAAACAGTCATGACATTATAAGAAAAGTTAAATTGTTTGATATGTACATAGATTTGAGTCTTCCACTATGGTTACCACCCTTTTAAGATGAAGGAATCCAGCCTAAGGAAAAGTGCATTGTCAGCAAAAAAGCAAGAGAAGGAAATTTCAGGAAAACAGTGATGCAACTGTGCCAGCAGGCATTCAAAAAAACCTCACACTTCTTGTGAAGTATTTTATCTCACGTTGAAAACAAAGCTTTTATGTGGATTCAGCGTGTAAAACATGAAAAATCCATGTAGATTGTTACTTGGTTAACGCTTTAAGTCTCTAGAAAGCTATTAAGTTTTGGTGGGGGGGGGGCGGTCAGAAGTTAAATGTGGATTTTCAAATACATGGGGGAGGGGTAAAGCACCCCTGCCCCACATTGTTCAAAGGTCACACTGTTCAACTTTAAATGGAATTTAGTGAATGATTGGTTTCATTTCGTTGATTTTCCTATTTTATTTTAATGCTGATGTGGCAAAATTAAGTATCCTCAGAAATGAAAAAAACATTTTATCCTCTGGGAGATTTTGTTTTTGCAAATTACTGAAATTCATTCAGAGTCAAGTGTGGTAGCATACCAACCTTGGTGATTAAATTTTTGGTTCTCATCACCATAGTCTCATCCCCTGGCTGATACCACACAATTTTTAAAGAAAGTAACCAATATCTGGTGTGGTGTGCTACAAGATAATGCACTGGACCACAAGGGTTGTAAGTTCTAATCCACCAGCAGCTCCTCAGAAACCCTTGATAATACGGGTTACTATGAGTTGGAACCTCCTTGACAGCACTTGGCATCGATCTCAGATTGCTGCTGTTTTGGTCTTATTTTACCACTATTTTCATTCAGTGCTAATCATAAAATTTCTGTATTTTGCTGAACAAGGGCAGTAACTGCCCTCCTTCCTCCTTCTTATTTAGAATTACCTTTTAATTCCATTTTTCCACAAACTTTGACGCCCTTTATGTTTAAGATGAACCTTTTCTCTATAACTGTCAAAATGTGAGATTGTTCTTTAGTTGTATCCTCATTAGTGTTTGTGGTAGGCACAGTCCTATTGTCAAATTTAAGGAGTACAGTTTTGGTTGCTTTCAATTTAACTCTTAACATTAGTGTTTTAAGGGGGGGGGGGCAGTCTTTATTTCCTCAAAAAATGTATTGTTGTTGTTAAGTGCCATCGAGTTGATTCCAACCCATAGCACCCCTGTATAGGGTTTCCAAGGAGCAACTCGTGAACTTGAACCGCCAGTCTTGCAGTTCAAACGACTTTCTAGTCTGGTGCAATAACCCACAGCGCCACACCAGAACCCCAAAAAGTGTATTGAAAGTGTATTGCGGAATACATAATATACTATGAATTCCGTACTTCATTTTAAGAAGTTCAAAATCACACATTTTGGATATCTGTAATAGAAGGTATTAACAGACAATTTAGGATTCCTGAGACAATTTTTAAGCACATCACACATTTAATTTTGTTTTTTCTTTTAGTAGCCAGAGAAGTCCGTCACCTGGTCCAAATCATACATCTAGTAGTAATGCATCAAATGCAACAGTTGTACCCCAGAATTCATCTGCCCGACCTACATGTTCATTAACACCTACGCTAGCAGCACACTTCAATGAAAATCTCATAAAACATGTTCAAGGATGGCCTGCAGATCATGCAGAGAAACAGGTATGTTACCAGGAGTAAGATGAGACTGTTAGGTGACTAGCAAAATAGAAGTTAAAATTCTACTGGAAAATTGATCTGGATTACTGTATTCAAAATAACAAACATTTGTTTAATTAGATTTGCCTCTTATCAGCTTATAGTCTTTTTATGTGTACTTATATACACGTATACAGGTACTTAATGGGTTTCAAACAGGTGTCTACATTTTTGTTCTTTACTTTTTTTTTTTTTTTCCCCCTACCCCACTGTGAATTGAGTTTCCATTTCTCCTTCTTTTCCCACTCTTCTAAATTTGTCCTTTAGTAAATGCTACCCTTTTGATCTTGAATGGTTGACCATTCTGCCATATGCATACCACACTATTATTGCTTTCCCCCTTATATACCTATCTATTACTGCTTGGCTGAAAATTGAACCTTGGTGAATTCAGTTTCAGACCTGTAGGCATGGTCTCAACTTCCTCTGGTTTCTATAAGACTTAGTGGACTATTATGATTTTGAGTTTTGTTCCTTATTCTCTCTTACTGTATCTAGGACCTCCTAATGGGACCCTTTTCAGGGCAGAGCACATGGTCTTGGTAGCCAGGCATCATTTGATTCTTTTCATCTCAGGGTCATGGAGACTAATGTTCACTTTCCACTTGGTTTACTAGTCCATTGAACTAATTGTTTCCAAACATCCTCAATTTTCAACACTCTTTTTTGCTCTGGATGGGGTGAGACCAATAGTTGCACCCTAGGTGGCTGTGTTGAGCTTTAAAGACCGGAGTCCTGGTGTGGTACTTTAGAATAAGCAATGGATCTCAAGTTGGCAGTTCAAACTCAACAGCCATTTCTCAGAAACCCTATACAGGGTCGCTAGGAATTGGAACCAACTTAATGGCACTTAGCAACAACTCACCATTGTGTATGATATGTAGAAAACATTGTAGTAGTGGGCTGTGTTACTGGATACAGTTCTTATTTAATGCCTTACTTTAGTACAAAAAAAGTCTGAAAGTGTTTTCAATGATTTAAAAGCTGCACAGGCAGTAACTAAAGGTGACTGTGATGAAGAATTATTGTGGTAGCGGTTTTCCCATCGTAGATACAGTGGCCACCAACCACACCACTTTGAGTTCTGCCAGTAACCCAATTTTTCATGCATTAGACTCCTTAAAGGGCATGTTTTCTGTGCCTCAATATAAAAAAACATAAGCGGCTCATTGTTTTAAAGAACAGTTCTCAGTGTACATAGAGGTTCCCAAAAATGGAACTTTATCCTAAGTTCAACAAACATGTTGTTGCCTCTTTCCTAGTCTTCCATTCCAGGTCTTTGCCCTATTGTTTTTCCCATTCTGGTTACATGACGAATGGCTCAAATTGTAAAAATCTGGATTTTATATATTTTTTGTCAGTCATGACAAAACCAGTTTGAAGCCCTACGTTAAAGGGCAAACATGAGTTGTGTATATAAGTTGGACATTTGTAACCCCGTAAGTGTAGTAATTAATGAAATAATATTTTGTGGTTGCACATTAAATATTTTATTGTAGTTATTGTGGTGGTTGTTAAATGCCAATGAGTCGATGACCCTGTATTAGGGTTTCTGTGGAGTGGCTGCTGAGTTTGAGCTGCCAACCTTGAGGTCCATTGCTTATCCTGAAGTACCACACGTTAAATGCTATTGAGTTGGTTCTGACCCAGCGTAACCTTGTATAGGGTTTCCAAGGAGTAGCTGGTGAGCTTGAACTGCCAACCTTGCAGTCTGGCATATTAACATACAGCGCCACACCAGGACTCCACAACGCCAACTAGGCCTCCAGTTATTATAGTTACCATTTATCAACTACTCAGGAGCATAGTGAGTGTTCCATACGATCAGCACTGAACTGTGTCCACAGTTTGAGCCCACCAGTCGCTCCACGGAAGAAAGATGGAGGCGTTCTGCTCCTGCAAAGATTTAAAGCCTCTGAAACCCTGTAAAGGGTCACTATGAATTTGAACTGACTGGACAATCATTAACATCAGCAACAACATTCAAGTACTTAGGATTTAGCTAAGTTCCTTAGTTTTTCTGTTCACTGTTCAGATACTGTTTTCCTATTTTGCCAGTGAGCCTCTTATGACCAAATGAATGATCTCAAAGGCCACTTAGTTCAAAACTCTGGTGTATGCTTTTCCCACTCTGCTACCTGGTATTTTCAGAGATTCCTAAGCTACCAGTCTCATGGTGAGCTCATTAGACTAGCAGCTAGTATAGGAAACATTTTAAATTTGTGTGGAACATTCACTTATGTTCACATTTGCCTCTCTTATGTGTGGCGCTGTAGTATAAGCACTGGATTGAAAAATCAGTTTGAAATGTGCAAGTTCAGCAGTTCAAACTCATCAGCTGCTCCTCCTATAGAGGGTCACCATGAGTCAGAAGTAACTCGATGGTATTTAAGAACAACAACTACTGGCTGGTGCAATGTTCTGAAAGTGCACAGAGATACCTTATCTCAATATATAAGAATATAGTGGATATAATGAAGCCCATGTATCAATCAGTACTTTACCTGAACTTGCAGGAATGACGATCTCTAATTCTTGATCCAGTATTTTATATTAACTACAATTCAAGAATATATTCTATTCTAGTGCTGTTTACTATCCTAATATTGGAGTACTGTTTGCTCAAGAAACCAGAAATGGAAATCTTAAGATGAGTACCTTCTATAGAATTTTCTGTACAGAAAATAAAATTTCCCTTAGATTTTCCAGCATGTCTGTAGATATTTAAGTTTCATGGAATTTTTATTTTCTTAAAGGCATCAAGATTGCGTGAAGAAGCCCATAACATGGGAAGCGTCCACATGTCAGAAATATGTACTGAATTAAAAAATTTAAGATCTTTAGTCCGAGTATGTGAAATTCAAGCAACCTTGCGAGAGCAGCGGTAAGTTTTCCACTGAAATTAATCTTAGTATAATTATGTCTATTAAATTGAATTGGAAAACATTAACTTATGAAATTGAAAGTGCATTTTTAAAATATATCTCATTATGTACCATAATTCTATATCTGCTTTTCATAGGTTAATGATGTGGCAGCTAGATTTTATTTCTCTTAACCCAGATAAATGCTTCATTAAACTTTTCCTATGTTACACTGTTGTTGTTGGTAACTGCTGTTGAATCAGTTCTGACCCATAACAACCCTATATAGAGTTTCTGAGGTGGGTTTGAACTTCCGACATTGTGGCTCATAATTCAGCACTGATCCAACAGTGCCACACCAGAAGTCTGTGTTACACTTACAGCTACAGTAAATGCATAAATTGCTTTAAAAAAAGTAAAATGTTGATAGCTGTTAATGATAAAGGCTCCTCTCTTGAATTGAGGGAGCACATTCTTACTGTGTTAAGAGTACTGTTTATCTTGAAATTTCAAGTCATTGCTTATATTGTTACTTCATTGATCTTTTGGAAATTATAGTGAGAGTTTAGTTACCCAACAAGTTGAATGATACAGTAATTGTGTCATCTTAGTATTTTTTTTTCACCTAAACTCTTTTCATCTCATATTTCTTAATCTAGTATTTCACTAAAGTAGGATATCTACCAAATTTTGCTGGTACAGGCAATAAATATTTACAGAAAAGAGGGGCCAGAATAGGAAATACTTCATGAAGTACATGGGAGTCTAGTTAGCTGACCCTGACTCAAAGGCACTTAACAACAACAAATAATAATGTACATTGAACTCCTGTTGTGGCACTGTAGGATAAACACTGGATTGCAAGGTGGGTTTGAATTATAGGGCCAGTGATTCAAATTCTTCCTATTCATCGTCACTGTGAGTCAACTGAAATCAACAGCCTTAAAGACAACAGTAATCTACATTGAGAATTGCTTGTTTAAAAAATGATTTGCCTCTTAACACTTAATTTTAGTTTTATTACACTGTGGCACAGAAACATTCTATTGCTGTATTGGTAGATCTTGTATGGTATCTGTTTCTTTTTAGTTTATTAATATAATCAAGTTAATTATTGAGAAAATGTCAGAAAACTAATTCTAAATTTTGTCATTGTAGTTAGTGCTTTACTGTATTTACATATGTGTTCAGTGGTTACTTTGTCTTAACTGTAGACTGATCATTTTCAGTTATTCAGTCTTAATTAGTAATCTTTTGTAATTGAAATTTCACTGTTTCTGTGACATTTATGTGAAAGCACAAATTCTAATGCCTTGTTTTATTTTTCAGGATACTGTTTTTGAGACAGCAAATTAAGGAACTTGAAAAGCTAAAAAATCAGAATTCCTTCATGGTGTGAAGATGTGAATAATTGCACATGGTTTTGAGTACAGGAACTATAAATCTGTTGCCCAATCTTAACATTTTTGAGCTGCATTTAAGTAGACTTTGGACCGTTAAGCTGGGCAAAAGAAACGACAAGGGGATGGGTCTTTGAGAGTCAATTCAGGGGAAAGATACAAGATTGATTTGTAAAACCCTTGAAATGTAGATTTCTTGTAGATGTATTCTTCACGTTGTAAATATGTTTTGTAGAGTGAAGCCATGGGAAGCCATGTGTAACAGAGCTTAGACATCCAAAACTAATCAATGCTGAGGTGGCTAAATACCTAGCCTTTTACATGTAAACCTGTCTGCAAAATTAGCTTTTTTTAAAAGGAAAAAAAAAATTGGGGGGTTAATTTATCATTCAGAAATCTTGCATTTTCAAAAATTCAGTGCAAGCGCCAGGCGATCTGTGTCTAAGGATACAATTTTGAACCATATGGGCAGTGTACAAATATCATGAACCAACTGTTTCCACACTTGCACCTGATCAAGAGCAGTGCTTCTCTATTTGTTTTCATTTCCCGTGTGTTCCATTTCCTTCCGAAATCCTCGGTCTGATTTTATCCATTTTTTAAAGGCTCCTCTTTTTCTCCTTTCTTAAGGCACTGTTGCTATGGCACTTTTCTATAACCTTTTCATTCCTGTGTACAGTAGCTTAAAATTGCAGTGATTGAGCATAACCCACTTTGTTTGTATAAATTATTGAAATCCATTTGCACCCTGTAAGAATGGACTTTAAAGTACTGCTGGGCATGTGTGCTGAAAGTACATTGATTGCTCATATATGTGGAAAATAGCCCAATGAACATGGTTGTGGGAGGGGAAAGAGGAAACAAAGCTAGTCAGATGTGAATTGTATCTGTTGTAATAAACATGTTAAAACAAACGAAAATTGTTATTTTTCATTTCCTTCAGTCAATGCATATTAGAATTTGAACTACCTGGGGATTCTTTATCAGAACTATTCTTGTTGAATATTTATACTTGATTGAAATAATTCTTATGGGAAGTTTTGTTTAAAACATAGTAACAGAAAATTGTGTATAAAATATTTAATGAAATACGAAATTCAACAAGAATGATTAAGTCACTTCCCAGTGGTTGTCATTTGTTAAACCCTGGTTTACCTGTCTTGCTATTATGACATTTCATTTTGAAGGATGTTTGTGTTGTAGCTAACTGTTCAAGTCTGGTGCTGACTGCTGTTCTTAGCCATCACACAACGCTAAATTTGTGTAATTGGAGCTTCCTGCTGTTATCTGGAAATGGTGGGAAAGCTCGGCTTTGTATATTGTTTCCTAAAGTATATTAAAATAAAAAAAGAAACTATTGCTACTATAAAATTACCTTGACTTTTTATTTCTTGCTTAAAATATTAGTCACATGGCCTTAGCATGACACTGCCAGTGTTGTACTCAGTCACAAAGGTTTCTGTTTGCAGAAAATTCATTATCTAATTCAATACTTATTCTAATTTAGAGTTTCTTTTTGTTGTTGGGGCAGATATATTCATGTGCTTTCAGAACTGCCAGCACCAAGGGCTTCTTTTGTCATGCTAGAATTTTAATGTCATTGTGGGATACTAACTTCAATATGAAAACTGATACTTGTGCTTTTAAGCCTATCTTAAGCATATTTTACATATAGAAATAAACTGTAAGCACAGTATGGATGGTATTTTCTAAAATATTCGTACAAAACGGTTCCAGTATCATTAATAAGAATTAAAATAATATGCTGGAAGCTGATTTTTCTTATTCTCCTGTAACGTGAGAATACTTTGAAATTGTATGAAACAACTAATGTCATGAAATACATCATCATGAAATGTTCATAGCTGCGAGATTGTTAACATTTGTTGGACATAATTTAGTGCATGTAAATGAAACAAAGAACTATGTTAAGCTGAAACCTTTAGTGCAGTTCTGGATCTTTCCTCCTGGAAAGAAGAAAGCAGTTTGTGATGTGTTAGTAGGCAAATGTTTCCTGAGAAGGTGGAAACTTGACTTGTGGGTTAAGGTAAATTTGCATTTGATTTGCTAATAGAATTTTCATTAATCTATGTCACATTATTCCTTTGCTTAAAGACAAAATGTTTACATCCATAAATGAATTGCTCTTATATGAGGAGACTTCAAAAAGCTCATAGAAATATGGAATTTAAAAAGATACTGGAATTTTTCCACATATTTTTGAAGCCCCCTCATACATGCAGGAGAATTTGCCTAATTTGGAATTTCTTATTGATGAATTTTTAAATACACAGAAAATTTAAATCTTTTATGGAAATATTTTTACTATATCACTGTAGTAAATTATTTTAAATATTGAACTTTAATACGGATAATGGTTTTCAACTAGACTAACCTTTTTGAGGTAACCAGGGATTATTTACTATTAAATAGGCATATGTAGTCAACCTGTTGCCATAGCTTTGAACACATAATCTCATTTTGGTGGGCAACTTGGTTCAGATAATTTGAAAATAAAATTATTGAATAGCCTCTTTTAAGAAGCCTCAGGTGTTTTCTTGTTTGTTTTTAAAAGAACAGTAGTAGTCTATTAAAACATTAAAAACTGATATTTAACAAGATGTGGTTTGTGAAGAAGGGTCTGTTAAAAGGTCTCCTAAAATCCCAGCTCTTCCCTACCTTTGTTTTTCTCCTAAGTCAGACCAATCAACATTTAATTTTAAAAAATTTAAACTACAATGGTACCCGGATTTTAAACACTGAAAACTCAAATCCATGCTTCAGTTCTTTTTCCAGACATTATGCTGCTTTTAATAGCCCAAATGAATGGTTTTATTTTTCTGAATTCTAAATTTGACACATTTTGACATATTTTACTTTGACATATTTGACATAAATTTTACATTTGCAAAGAATAAATTATTGCCTCATTTCAAAAACAAGTTTCTTGTTCTGTTTAAAAAACCTTATTAGCTTTAAGAAATTTTCAAAGGCGGGGAGGGGGTGGCAAAGTAATTCACTATATATTGCCAGAATCATTGTAGTTTAGGACTTAAAGCTATTGTATTTAGTTGTGGGATTTGAATATATGGATTTTTAAAAATACCTGTAAATATGGCTATATTCTTGTATCTGTACTGGAGTGTACAAATGACACTAAAAAGTAATAAATATGTTTTGACAATATTGTGCAGTTATTTCAGAATAATTTTTTGAAAGTCTTAGAATGCATAATTCATATTTGAGTAAGAAGGTACAATAGTGGTTACTGCTAAAATTTAACAATGCTCAATGTTTTTCAGTAGTTGGCAAGAAATTTTTAGTTGCCCCTAAAAAAAAAAAAACAAAAACTCAAAGGTCCTCTTCTAATTTGCTGGACCTTCCTGATTTCAAGACTTGGGTGTGTCCTAACCTGCTGTCTGCCTAGGGTTTGTTTGTACTTTAGCTCTAGTCTCGAGCAGTTGTCAGTGGGAATTGACGATGGCCCTGTAAGGATAGAATAGAACTGCCCATAAGGTTTGCAAGGCTGTAAATCTTGGCAGAAGCAAACTACTGCAGTTTTAATCTGCAAAGCAGCTAGTGGGTTCAAACATCAGACTTCATTGGCAGCTGAGCACTTTTAACCACTGTGCCATCATGACTTGTGCCTCAAGCTTCAGTCAATTTAGTCTAATAGTCTTAGAGAAACATGGCCAAGAGAATTTTCAATTGTGCTTTGGATTATTTTCATTGTTCCCATCTTTTCTAATGTCCCATATCTAAGGAATATATGGACTGCTAACTCTTAAGGTTGATGGCTCAAACCCTACAGTTCCTCAGAAACCATTATACAGGGGTCACTATGAGTCAGAATCTAATCAACTGGCACTTAAGTTTCAAACCCACCAGTCCTTGGAAACTAGTGTTGCTGTGAGTCAAAACCGACTCACTTGTACTTAGCAACCACAGTGCACTGTGAGTTAGGTGTTGCGCTGCTAACCTCCGGGTTGGCCATCCACAGTCACCAGCCACTCAGTGATAAAGAACAGAAAAGTGGTCTTCTGTAAATAGTTGCCGTCTCAGAAACTAGTGGGTTTTGATTTGGGGGGGTTCCATATTTCATCCATTATGAGGACCCACACGCTGCCTTCAAGAATGTCTCCTGTCTCCATATTTACCATTCTGCTCTAATGCATAGTAATTTTTGGATCACTGCGGAAATCGAATCTTATTCCATCCCTTCACAATTTTCCCCCATTGTAACCTATTCTCTCTACAGCTGCCTGAATTTAAACTCTATTGTCATTCGGTTCAAAATCCTCCAGTGATTTCACACAGATGAAAATCTAGAATTTGCATATATAGGTTCCTGTATCACCACACTCACCTGCTAGTTTTTCTTGATGTTTGTACCGCAGCCCCACTGCGATCCCACCTCAGGACTTTTACATTTGCCTTCATGCCTGGAAAGTTTTTCTAGAGGTTCTGCCCAATTGCATCCTGTCTCAGTGGTCACCTCCCAAGAGACATTTCCTGACCATCATGCTACATCTTCACTCTGAAATTTCAAAAAACAGTTGCTGACATGGAAGCACTCCATATTAAGTGAATTAGGAATTGAATGAAAGTTTTTATAAGAAGGTTAATTTTTAGCAGTGATTCTAGTTTTTTAAAGAAATTACAAATGGACACCAAAACCTACAAGACTATCATTTGAAGTGTGGGCTCTTTAAGCAAGATAAATCAGCTGAAAGTAAATTGAGCCTACTTCTATCATTGTATAGTAATAAATTGATGGGAAAGGAGACACTTTTGAAGTAATGAGCTTGAGATGGACCAGCAGGAAGTGGCCCCCTTCTGCAGGGGGGGCGGGGGTCAGGATTGCATAAGGTACTAGGGTTGAAGACTTGAGTCCTGGTTTTACAAGGTAGGACTGCTTTAACAGGTCTATCCTTCAAGTTCAGATGATGGCACCCAACCAGACCTACCTTATCCTGGTTTTTAGGGCAGAGCTGTAGACAGCAGTTTGGCACTAGAAACATATTCTAAGATGTGTTAATAGAACATCTGTACTAAGAAACATGGCTGGCATATGAGAGTTCTCAAGCCTTTGGGATATGTGGAAAGATTAGGATGGATTAATCACTTGGTGCCAATATATGTGTGTGTGTATATATATATGTATGTCCTATAAGCAAAAATCTCTTATATCCATTTTTCAAGTGTGCTAGTGACTACCTAATTTGATCAGCCTATGTGGAGTCTTGGTGTGATGCTTTAAGAAAAACACTGGACCACAATGTAGTCGGTTTCAAACTCACCAGTCACTCGTTGGAAATCCTACACAGGATCACTATAAGTCATAACCAACTCAATGGCACTTAACATGTGAGTGTGTAGGATCCCCTGGTGTTGTATTGGTTAAAGAGCTTGGCTGCTAAACCAAAAAAAAAAAAAGGACCATTCAAACCCACTAGCTGCCCAATGACAAAGATTTGTCAGTCTGTTTCCATAAAGATTTACAGCCTTGGAAACCTTACAGAGCAATTCTACTTTGTTCTGTATGGTTATATGAGTTACTGACTTGGCAACAGGTTTGCCTTAGGTGGGTATATTAGGATCAGAATAAGTTTCTTACTCATTTTAAATAGTCCTGCTGCTGTTACCTTGGGTGTGACAGGCAGACTGTAAGGAAATGATTTTTGTCTCATGTATGTGTATCCCCATCAGATTAAGAATCAACAACAGTAGACAATAACTTGAGATCAACAAACATGACAACATTACCTAAAACTCAGTTCGGATATTTTTTTAAGTGCCGTCCTATCAGTTCTAACTCATAGCAACCCAGCACAGGGTTTCTGAGGGGCGATTGGTGAGTTTGAACCACCGACCTTGTGATTCAAACTGGTCTTACAATCCTGTGCTTAAACTAC